AGAGAGAGAAAGGGCAAAGAGAAAAACACTCTGCATTGACTGGGTATGCTTCAGGAAATATCTAATAACAAATTCTAGCCAATATATGTAGTCGAACTACAATGTAAAGTGATAAAGAGAGAGAAAGTCAGGCAAATATTTGCAATCTCCTTAGCTACTTAAACCTGTCGAGTAGAAAGCGTAGTTGTGTATACCAGTATGGTTGAGAAAATAGCTGTATAAGATATGTTATAAATAACAAGCACTATGACGTTGTATTCCATTACAAAAAAGGCCTTTGATATATTTCGAAGGTCACGTTGTTGTTTCATGAGTCATTTTCAGCTTTTCGCATGTATTCCATAATGTAACTTTAGCCTGATAATCGGCAAATAATCGGCCATTATAAGACCTTTTCTGCAGCTGCCAATCACATGCTAAAATACTGAATACAAGCGAATAGATTTTCACATTTTGTTGCAAAACCTGTGTCTTTTGTCTCAAGCAAAGTGAAGCTGGGAACATTTCCACTAAAAAAACGCAGCAGACTAGCTCCGCGTAGCTGACAGTGCCTTGTTTTTACACCATAATCTGCCAAAACTAAAACTAAAACTTTGACTATTGACATGAAAGACTGAAGCTGTTTTTAATTGTACAAAGTGTGTATTGTAAACAATAAAACCGCATTTACAACTTCATTGTTGGTCATCTTGTGATTTTTCGCTTGCTTTTTAAAATAATCGGTTGGTACCGATTAATCGCCGATTAGTTACAATAATCGGCTTATAAATAATCGGCCTCAGTAATCGGCAATTTTCCTTATCGGCTCATCTATTATGATACGATGGTCTGGAATCCCGGCAAACTTCGAAGCAACAAAATAGAAGACCTTTGTTTGATGTTGAACTGTACTTCACCGTGCACAAATCCTTTGTTTATTATTTAACAATTTTTTGTTAATTGTTATATTCACCTGTAGGTTCAATCACCTTGTAGGTTTGTTATGTATTCATCGTGGCTGCACGTTTCATCTCAGTTATTCCTATTGGACGGTTACTTAATTTTGCGAAAATACAACGAGCTCAATTACCGTGACCGTGCACAAATTAACATAAACTCCGACAAAAACATATAACAAACAACCTACTAGTAGGCTATCACATATCGTGCTTCTGATTGGCTACGCTACTAGTAGGCTATTAGTGATAGCTACTAATAGAAAATTCAAAATGGCGGAAAATTCGCGTTTTGCACTTTTGCCGAAGTGTCTGATGATTTTTTGGACGACTTGTTGAACAATTCTGTACTAAAACCCCCGAAAAAAGCAACAAAAATATGGAATGGCAATTTTTAAGGGTAAGAAAATAGACAAAATAACATACACTCGATGAAATTTTAAAATTAAAACTGAATTTTGTAAAACATTTTACGCGAACAAAAACTAAAATATTTGTTTACCTTTAATGGTTTTATAATGTTTTTTTTTTGTGTATTTTTGTATTGTGTTTACAGCCTAGTTGTAAATTAATGTTAAAGTTTATACTAAAACAATTAGACAACTCGGCCTCGTTGTCTATGAGCAAATAGTCAACTCGGCTTCCGTTGACTATTGCTCATAGACACGGGGGGTTCCGGCCGGAACCCCGATTTTTCAGAGTTCCGGTTCCAGCCAGAACTAATAAAAAAACCATGGCTAATAAAAAAAAGTTGTCATTTTCAGAGAATGCTTAATAACAAATTCTAGCCAATATATGTAGTCAGGCAAAGAGAAAAACACTCTGCATTGATTAGGTATGCTTCAGGAAATATCTAATAACAAATTCTAGCCAATTAATATATGTAGTCGAACTACAATGTAAAGTGATAAAGAGAGAGAAAGGGCAAAGAGAAAAACACTCTGCATTGATTAGGTATGCTTCAGGAAATATCTAATAACAAATTCTACAGAACTCTGGCTAGGGCTCCTTGTCAGGCCTTGAATTTCCCTGAAATCAATCGACGGCAATGGCATTAAAAATTGCCGTAGAACGTAACAGCTGTCTACGGCAATTTTAGCAGTTTCTACAGCATTTTTTCAAATTACTGTACATAATAAAAATTTAATTTTATTGTTACTTTGGATTGTTGACAAGATAGCAACATGTTGATTGTTGACAAGCTAGAAATATGTAGTTTATGTATTTCTTTAGTGTTTTTTTTTCTCTAAGAAAACTGAGACTAAACTAGTGATTTACGCATGATTTGATCAACATCTGAATTCAAGTATCAAAATAGTAATGCACCGCGAATAGTATAAAAATTATACTATACAGCAAAAAATTACCGTCGTTGCCGAAATGATCCATGATACGGCAATTGCCGCGATAAAATTCAAGCCCTGCTCCCTGTGCAACTAACACTAAACGGTAACCACATCATGTTGCATGTTTAACCCTAAGCTTGCATCTTTGAAGGTCAGTGAAACTACTTTTTATTTTTGTTCTTCTATACTTTTACATGTCATATCAGAAAATAATAGAAAAAAATTTCTACAACTTATAATCTTTTACATATTTGTTTGCACACATACAGTATGCTTCCCAAAATAACATGTCTGAGAAGATGGGAAAGACATCTTTGCACAACGACAACGCATGTCAGTGGTTTTTGATTCGCTAAAAGTTCAATAACAATTGTTCCTCTAACTCGCAAAAGGGTCAAGATGGCGCCATATGGGGGAAAAGGTGGCATATTGCACTTGTCATATCTTCAAAACAAGTTCTGTGACCCCTACTTTTTTCTGTTTTTATTTTAAGCGTATCATAAACTTCACCCCTGGGATTTTCAGCAAATTCTCATTTCCAGAACAATTACTGATGAATCACCTTAATAATCCGACAAAAGAAGTGCGAGGGAACAGAGGGCAATGAAACAAACAAATATGTTCCAAGAGCATATGCCTTTCAATGTTTACCATGCAATTTTCCTAAGCAGGAAGTAGCATTCTAAAGACAACAGAAACACAATTTTTTGGATGGAGCATGCACATATAAAGTTGCATGATCATCATACTCTGATACTCCCTCATTCTGTTTATATTGCTAATATAAACCTCCACGTTTTTAATTATCTGAACGTGGCATCTCTATTCATGTCACTCGACTTTATGTGTAACAATTTGAATATGAACGTGACCTCTTCTTAATGTTTGAACAAAATCCCACGATGCTTTGCAGTTTTAATACAAAGTGCACACACCTCACCGCTGCAGGACAAATTTGCTTATAAAACATATTTGCTTTATATAAACTTATAAAATTTTGTTAAATACTGGTTTTATCTGTACAAAACGTTGTTAAATTCCATCTATACATTTGCTAAAGAATAAACACCGATCTAGCAAGCTCATTTTTTTAGCAAACAGTAAAAAATAATCAAATACAAACCGTCCACGTTGCCATTCGGCGTTTGTGTCGCTTCCGATTCCGCCATATTCTTCACTTCGATACCTTCCTCTGTGAACTCGTTTAACTCTGACGAATCGTCCAACAACGACTACAAAACATAAAGGTGTACATTAAAGCAAGGCAGTTGGAGTATTATCGGCTTTTGTAGTGCCAAAAGTAATAATTTCGCTTCGACGAAACCGCGGCATGCTGCGAAGCGAATTATATACGTGAATTTCAGAAACGAAATAAAAGTTATTACCTTCTCAAGTCGATCGACCAGTGCCCCTTTGAGACCAGACTTGTCCAAACCTCTTTTCTCCAGCTCTGCTCTGAGATCTACAACTCTAAGTTGCCCCAATTTTTTACCACCGATAGAGGCCATTGCACTCAACACGTTTCGTCTTCCCCGAAGATAAATTCAGAATGAAACCTCTGCGCGTGCGTCAAATGGTCATGGACTCATGATCGGAATCATTCGGCACCTACTCGGCGTTTGACAATTGCAAGACCAAGACAGTTTTCTTTCGTGAGCACGGATCAAACAGAAACTATACTAGTAATAGTTTACACTACGTCTAACCCTGCTAGCTGCTTCTCAAAAGCATTACTTTTGATTCATTGATTGGCGCCGCGGAATTGGCCGCCTTATGTTACACAACCCCCAAACTCTTCCAAGCTTGGTAGCCGATTAACATATCAGTTCATTTAGCCAAACAGATTATGTGAGGGGCACGGATTTCAAGGGTTCAACGATCTGGACAAATCTCTTCGGGACGAGCGTTCTCTTTTGAAATTTAAAGAGAAAATAAGTAGTGTTTATTGACATTTAAATTAGCGGACTGCTATAAAATTACTTTTTAATATCTTAACTTTTAAACTTTTTTAATTTTAGGTAGTAGACACAGGTCCTTCATTGATACCAGAAAAAATAATTTCTGAATAAATTAATCTGTATAATTGTAAAGTTTTTTGGATCGTGATCTGATTAGTTACTAAAGGCGGACCAGAATAGTAGACGGGTACCTACAAAATGGCCGAATAGCTGGTATCCTGGAGTGAACCGCTTAAACTTTAGACTAAAATAGTTTAATTTATTATTATTATTATTATTATTATTGTTATTATTATTATTATTATTATTATTATTACTATTATTATTATATTATTATTATTATTATATTATTATTATATTATTATTATTATTATTATTATATTATTATTATATTATTATTATTATTATTATATTATTACTATTATTATTTTATTATTATTACGTAGTTGCTGGATGTCAAACGTAGCTCCCACGATTTACATGGAGACATGATTCTGTTCTGAACTTCATAGCACAAACGCTACAACCTGTAAACAACTCCAATCTTTTCGTCGATCTTCCTGGTTATAAAAGCCCATCAATTGTAACTGGTGACACATTCCGCCCAGACCTACTTCTATCTATCAACTCGGATTGTCTCTATATCCTTGAACTTTCTGTTGGCTATGAGTCTAATCTACAAACAAATGTTGATCGGAAAAGA